TTCTGTGCCTACGTCTAAATGAAAACAGTCCGTGTGTGTGTGTGTGTGTGTGTGTGTGTGTGTGTGTGTGTGTGTGTGTGTGCATAAATATATATTGCATGAGAAGAAAGGAAGTAGTAAGAAAGGTTTTAAAAATGGGTATTCCAATGTACAGCGCATTGAGCTACCTTTTTGGAAATGCGCTATGCAAATGTTATATTATTATCATTATTATTATTAAGCTCTAATTTGGCTCCAATCGTACCTTTGTGTAGACCCAGTGACTTCTAGCCTCTGAGCACAGGGACGTAACTAGGTCAAGGTCGCCACCAGAGTCCAGACATCCGTCATCTCTGCGGATCTGCTGCTCTTTAGTTAACTGAAAGAACTGCATCACGAATCATAAATGTATAAATAACCGTTTACTTCATTATTTTTGGATAATTCGTCGATGAATATAAATTCTTTAAATACCATCGAATAGACGTTTTATTTTACTGAGAAATAAATAAAATAATGCTTCCAAAACTTAGAGGAAACCAGGCATATTCAAATCACGGGGAAAATAGATAACAGGTTTTTAACTTCAATAGCTCAGTTGACTCTGCCCAATTCATAAGAACGATATAATTAATTGTATGTCGAATTAATGACTAAATTCATATTATAATCAGAACATCGATTAGCTCTTCCCAATTTCTCTGAACTAAACACTGGTGTGTAGCATTGCGGAGACCCAAGATGGCTTTCCAGAATGTTACCTGAACATTGTAGGCTTACAACATGTCCCCATTCTTGGCACCTCAAATTTCAGTGCCTAAAGGAGAAGGGGTAAGAGAAAAGAGGGGAAGAGGGAGAAGGAGGAAGAGGAAGAATAAGAGAGTGAATAGGAAAGGTTGGCGGTGCAACAACAAGGAGAAGAAGTAGAAGATAGTGGTGGAGGAGGAAGAGAAGAAGGAGGAGAAGGAGAAGGCGGAGGAAGGGAAGGAAAAGGAGGAGGCGGAGAAGGAGGAAGAGTAGGTAGAAGAAGGAGAAGGATGAGCATGATGATGACAAAGAAGTGGAGTTGAAAAAACAAAAAGTAGGGCTAAGAGAATGAAGAGGAGGAGGAGGAGGAGGAGAA